TCAGGCAAGTTTTTGTTGAAAGCTTTGGCAGCACAAACAGTCAACATTAAAGAACTTAAAACAGTAAGAATAACTTACATTAGTACAATAAAACTGTAAAATTCAACATACCAACATGATTTAGAATTGGAAATTCTGTGCATTGTTTCAATGCCATTAGAGCTTTTAGAACCTTTGATTATTTGACCTAGCATTAGAATGATTTTTGTATCTTTATTCATGTGGGTTGTTGCATAAGAATACAGTTTTGCATTTACCTATTTCATTTTGTTTATACCATTCTATATTATGTGTTTTTTATTACTGTTTTTTTAGAGTTCATTGTTTTGATTAGGAATTAATTAGTATTAAACTAAATATTATAAATATTGTTATATATTAAAACACATAATGGTGAAGGAAAAACTCACCATTACAAATTTCCTGGAGGATCATGCATAAATATTTTGAAACAGAAATTGTATAGAAAATATTTAATTTGGACCAACCAAAGGATTTGGATTTGTGCTTTGACACTACTGTATACATGTTGCCTTATCACCCAGCCAGCAGCCATATCACCCTGCAACTCACAACTGGTAACCCACTGAAGCTAAGCAGGTGTGAGCCTGGTCAGTACCTGGATGTAAGACCTCCTGGGAAAAACTAAGGTTGCTGCTGGAAGAGGTGTTAGTGGGGCCAGCAGGGGGCGCTACCCCTGCAGTCCATGTGGGTCCTAATACCCCAGTATAGTGACAGGGACACTATACTGTAAACAGGCGCCATCCTTCGGATGAGATGTAAAACCGAGGTCCTGACTCTCTGTGGTCATTAAAAATCCCAGGCCATTTCTTGAAAAGAGAAGGGGTGTTACCCCCAGCGTCCTGGCCACATTTCCCATTGGCCCTCACCAATCATGGCCTCCTAATAATCCCCATCTATGAATTGGCTACATTACTCTGCTCTCCTCCCCACTGATAGCTGATGTGTGGTGAGCATTCTGGCGCACTGTGGCTGCCGTCGCATCATCCAGTGGATGCTGCACATTGGTGGTGGTGGAGGGGAGTCCCCATTACCTGTAAAGTGCTTTGAGTGGAATGTCCAGAAAAGCGCTATATAAGTGTAAGCAATTATTAATTATTATTATTGCCTTGCAATGTGTATTTACCATTGACCAAAATTGTTATAGTTTGATATATTACAAATAACAAAATTGTCCATCCATTTTCTAATCTCTTTACCCAACAGAGGGTTGCGTGGGTGCCAGAAGAAAGCAACAGGCGCAAGGCAGGGTACACACTGGACGGGATACCAGTCCATCGCAGGGCACACACAGACACAAACACCAACCAGGGACAATTTTCCCAGAAGTCAGTTTGCCTACCAGTATATCTTTAGATTGGAAGGAAACCGTAGCACCCCTAGGAAACCCACTCAAACACAGAGAACTTACAAACACCACACAAATAGGATGCCAAGAATTGAACTCAGGGTCCCAGTGCTGTGAAACAGCAATGCTTACCACTGCAGCACTGTGCCACCATTGCCACGTAATCATTTTTCAAATGACCTTTTTTTATTCAAAACTATAATGGTCAAACTAGGAGGCTGATTGTCAGCAACAAAAATATACAGATGGAAATTTGCAGATTGCATAAGTATTCAGGCTCTTGGTGGAAGCTTTCAAAATAGGTCTCTGCCAGTATTGCTCACTGTGAAGGTAAATTTATGTCCACTCATCCTTGAATAATTATTCAATTTCTAACTAGTCTTCAAGTCTCACCATAGATTTTCTATCAGATTCAAGTCAGGACTTTGAAGGGGCCACTAAAGGAATCAACTATTCCTGTGTTGATTTTGCATTGTGCTTCATGCCACTGTTCTCTTGAAATCTGAATTTTCAACCCAGTATAAGACTTTTCTGATTTGAGCACATTTCCTTCCAGGATTCTGATGTACTTTATGCCTTTTATTTTACCCACAGTCCTTACAGTGCTTGAAAAACAAGTATCCTCATAAGATGACGCTGCCACCACCGTGCTTAATAGTTGATATGATACTGATTGGGTGAAGTGCCGTATTGGACTTTGCAGTTAGACCAAAAAGTTCAATCATTGTATTGACTGAATACGAAATCTTCTATCATGTCTATTGTATTATTTACAATTTGCTTTGTTATAAACTCGAAAGACACTGACTGCCATTGCAGACATGGAACCTCTCAAATTATTCACTGTTAGCTTCTCAGTGGCATCCCATAACCAGTTCTTTCAGTTCAGAAGGTTGGCCTTGAATTAGTTAGTGCCTGAGTGGTATAACATATTCCACTTGTTAAATTTTAACTTTTCTGATAACTTTTACTGATCTGTGCTTCTATACCGCTTGCTCCATCATTTGTTTTTGAAACCTCCATTGTTGGTTTGTCATATCAGTATAAGTCGTGGCTTGAATATCTAACTGATGGAATTTAAAGAGACCATACTGGATATCCCTAGATACATGAAGAAGCAGTTGTTAATATGGTAAAAGTAAATTCATAAAACAAAAAACGAGTACAATTATTATGTGTTATGCCCTGACGAGCTCCAGCACCGCCGAATTAGCTCCACCAATTACCAATGACTCACTGGGGCCATCCTCTATGAGATCAGGCCGGGCCTATCAGGCCAATTAAGGAACTTTGCACTGTATTTAAGTCCTGAGGAATCATTCCTCAGGGCTCAGACATTAAGTCACTAACCCTGCTTTGAGTTTGTCTCAGTTTCAGGTTCTCAGAAGTATTTCTCAGTGTTTCTTAATCCTCAGTTTCCAGTTCCTCAGTCATTATTGCCACTAATCGTCTCTTCATCACCTCAGACCTCAGCCTCTGCTCTGCCTGCTCAGCTGCGCAGCTACTGCCTCAGCTGTTTCCTCAGTCTCAGCTCTGTTTGTCCTCTTCAGCGCTGACATAGAATAAATTATCTCGATTTTGCCGCATATCTTGGCTCATTGACTCTAATTTTCGCCGAGCCCATTTCAACACCTTGTCGGGCCCGGCGTAACATTATGATAAAAAGATGGAATTCTTGACCTTTTGTTACAACAACATCATCCTACTTTGGAACCTGCAACACTTCTGTTGTTAATTTATTTAGAATAGTGTTGTTTTATATATTACTGCTGATTTTGTTTTGTTTTTTCCTACCTGATACTTATTCCATATTAATTCCATGGATGTAGCCCACTGTACATGAAGGAGAGAGTTCAATGGGGTATTTAAATTTACAGCAGTTGACAAAGTTTGATTTAATGTTCAAATGAACTCATCTTGGAATCCACTCTAATCTATATTGAAAAGATATCACCCTATCACCTTAATCTAGAATGGACTCTATATCTTAACATTATATTATTACATGATATTATAAAATTGTCTACAATGTTGATGCTTAGTTTAACAGTTGTGTTGTAGAACTGCACTACAGGTGTACTGTTTCTGAGTGCACTGAGTGTACTGTTATAGTAAGAAATTGAAATTGTTTGTTCTTTCATCTATTCATCATGAAAGTGAAGGAATTTAAACTGGCATATTATATTAAATGAATTACGACCATGCTTTCTACCGGGTGGACTGGAAAACACCAATGTAGAAAAATAGTGAAAAAAGGTAGATTTGAGCTTGATTAAAGCCTGTTATAGCTCTGAGAGCTTAGTCAATGTCCTTGACTTTCTTTGCTTTATAAATTGTTTAATGGGCTGGTACCACATTTTAAATTCTAAACTCAAGAATTATCTCACAGTTTGCAGATATCAGGACATTGCAGTGGATGACACAGAATAAAATAGAGGAATACCACTTTAAAACTTTAAGATATAAGTCTTCAAAGTTAGTTACTTAATGTACTATATAGTATACATTTGAAAAGCATGGTAGGCAGTGCTTTGTTGATGTGAAAATGCTTAACATAAAGTAGCATATTAACTTACAAAGTATCATATACTATTCTACTTTAAAAATCTCAAAATAAATACCTCAGAAAATATCAAAATAAATTGACATATCATTGCATTTACTACTCACAAATAAATGTAAATAGTACAAATAAATGTAGTAAAAAGGTACAGTAAATATAGCCGTAGAAGTAATAGTGGATGCTGCAGCTCTCAATACTACTCTGTTGTTGTTGTCTTCCGAAAAACAGTGGACTTGGCATATTAGCATCAGCCCATATTTGTGGAAAATGAGAAATAATTAAAGCTGGTGGCACTAGAAAGAAAGGAAGTTTTAGTTTTGTTGCACTAAAATATGGTGACTAAATGATTACACTTAAGGATTTCCAGTGTAAAGATTAATTGCATTTTTCAACACATTTTGTGGAGTACAAATTACTTTGATTAAGGATATAATAAAACTGAATGAATATTTTACAGAGCATTTCCTAATATAACTGAAAACTGCAGAGGATCTATGCTTTGTTCTTGCAGTGATGGGCAGTTGACTTGTAATAATTAGAAGTTCAGTCGTACAGAAAATGTGCTCATATAAAATTCATCTAAAGTCCACATCCACATTTGTATTAAACATTAAGCATTAACCCAGGAAATTCTACTCTTTCTTGTATAAGCCCATAAGTTTTGCATTTTCATTTAGTCTACATTTAGAACAAATGTATTTAAAGTAGTTAAATTCAATAACTATTATCCTGGGGGGCAAAGAACATTTGTTTGTGTCTTTATGTGTACAGTAGATGTTCAATTTGAAGAAAGTGTAACCCGCCTTGTTATAAATAAATAAAAAACCACAACAACAACAAAATTTTATTAAATTTTGGATGCACATTCACTTCACCAAAAGCAAAACTATTCTTGAATCTAGAACACTTAGTCAAAAAGAAAGGAAAGTGTTAAATCAAATGGACCATGAGGAGTGAAGCTGCTGAGCCCGTGAAACTGTTTTTCCAGTTTAAGGAGCATTTCGATTCTTCCCCAAAATATGTCCACCATAGTTTGCTCTGCTCTAATTCATCCATGTTGTTCGACAGCTCCAGATGGTGTGCTGCCTCCTAGGCTGTCATCTGCCACCCCAACCAGTCTTCAGGTTGTGTGGTCGGCACCAGTTCGCAACAACGCTCCAGGCCTGCCCAGATACCAACTCCAGATGAAGGCTGCTCATTCCACTGGTGACATTATACAGTAAGACTTTACATTTTGTAGTCTTAACATATCTGTAACTTAAATAACTATGCATGTCTTGTTTTTAAATAATTCATTTAAAAAGACTTTCTAAGCATTAGAGAAATAAAGCCACACATTTGAGATTGGCTGGTATAGCCCAAATGTTTACTCTCAATTTTGAAATAATTAGATCAGTGGTTAATTGGAAGATAGTATTTAGTAACTGTTTGATAAAATGAATACATTTACCAGCTAGATCTATTTTCATAAGTAATACTTAAAAATAAACGTTATGTCATACTTACACTATTCAATTTCTAATGGTTCTAAATTTATCAAAATGGAGTTTTTCAACTTTTGTGGTTAAATAAGTATTAATATGGGAATTTCCATGATTTGTGCATACTACTGGAAGTGCATACTTCCATGCATTAATTAGAATTGTGCATGTATTTTTGAATTATTGTTATTTTTTTGTATTAAGGCTTTCAGAATTACATACAATATGAAATCTAACTGGAATTTAATACAATTGACAATTGCATATACTGTAACTGGGTGAATATTTACAAAAAATCCTTTTTGCTGTCTTTTTGGTAACTTCAAGTGGCTCCTTCATAGAAATCAGTGTTCTGTCTATATAAGCTTATAGAGGCAATCCACCACATATTCAATTCTCCACCTGCTCAGTGTGACTGGGGAAGCCATGTAAGCCTGCTACTGTATAAGGCAAATCACTCCAAGCCCAAACATATGAACAACTGGGCAGACCAAACACACAAGGGGATTGATTTATCCCTACTGTAAAATATCCTTTTATCATTACTTGTCCGTGCTCACTCTGTTTGGTTGCTTGTTGGAGAGGGCACCAGCTCTCCCCTCCTTAACCCAGGACAGTATCTTCACATTCTCTGGAGAGATTGAGCAGAATGTCAGGTCTTCCTCTCTTTCTGACTTTGAGCAGGGTTTTGGTGGGTTGGTCCTGACAGCATCAACTTACTGTCCTTCCCCTTTAAAGGCACCAGGGTAGCAACCAATTGTCATCTCTCTTTGGTTGTATAGCTGTATGTTAAACACAATTACAACACCATTTAGGATTAATATGTGGGGTTGCAAACCTGTGATTGACAGGGGAGCCTAAGAACAGGATCAGATGGAACAATGCATCAGTACACTTGGCCATATTTGGAAAGCCATTTCCTGAAGGAGTCCTGGGCCTACAAAGCTTTCCTACCAGCTTTGGTAGGAAAGTCAGCGGGAGAGTCAGAAGCACTTCAAGACAGAACTGAGACCTGTGGAAGAAGGCAGTTTTGTGGGACACATTATGGCAGTTGGAGAGGACTGAGACACCAGATACTGGGAGCAGCAGAGGAAGCTGCATCTGGAACTAAGGAGGATGCTTGGCATTTTACTGTCTCTTTGCTGTAGTGTAAGGATGCACACCAGGACACTGACCAGAGCTGAGTTCAGAAAATAATGCTGCTGGACTTTTTTATTTCCTGGACTTTTCCTTGGGGACATTGCTTTTGATAAAAATGGTCCATGGGGTTTTTCAGAACAGTAAAACTGTTCTGTCAGTAAATGCTTCTGGTTGATGAGTTGCATTGTGTGTTCTGTGTGTTAGGTGGATGGAGTTAACTGTTGTGATCGACAGAAAATAAGAAACTTTAAAGTTACTTTTCCCTTATTTTGGTCTGTGCATGTACTAGTGGTTCTGGGAGATGAAAAGAATCTGCTGCAGAGGAATGAAGGGGCCTAGCACCCTTTAAAATGACTAGGTTGCATAGTCATACACCAAACAGGAATACGTCTTGTTTTTATTGGTCAGCTATCCCTGACACTACACATCTCTTCTGTTCACTTTCAGACATCATTTTTTTTAATCTAACATGACAGCTTGGGATTGTTTATATCTCTACTCTCAACCAAGGTGTCAAGGATCTATACACACAAATACTCAGAATAGCCAGAGTGAAGACCATGAGATTTTATTGCAGTCTTTTTCAAGGTTAACAAGTGGTAGTAGTAGCTGGACCAGTCTGCCCAGGCCAGTTAAAACAAAACTGAATAAAACTACAAAGTTAATCATGTATAAAGGGTTTCTGATCAAGTGAAGTAATATAGATTTGACAATTAACTGAAAATATTCTGTGACATTATTTCTTGCCAATGTAACCATGTTTGTTCACAGTAAATTGTTTCATAATGTTATGCTTTATGTGAAAGTGAAAGAGGTGTGAAAGCTAGAAGACTCACAGTCACAAGTAAGAAACAGGATACTAGGCTTTCCGAACTCCATTGCTGTTGTAATTAATATATTTACTTTAAAAATAATGATACTACTATAGTACATTTGCTAACAGAAAGATAATATTAGGGTGGGTTTGTAAAAGGGTATTATTATTGTAAATGGTAGGTGGATAGGTCGAAATAAAACAAATAAAATGTTACATATCTAATCTATCCAGAACCATTTTTGCAGACTGTTCTATAAAAAGTTATGCATCTTATATGTATTCATTACATGCATCTTGACAACAAAGTGCAATTTAATCAGAAATAGGAGAATTCTCATTCTGTTCTAATAAATAAATGACTAGGCCTATGTATTATATATCACCCTAGTTTCCAGGGATCCTTTTGAAATGTATTTCATTGTTCATTTGATTTATTTATCAAGTCTTATGGTACATTTGATTGTAAAATTAAAAAAAAAACTATTGCAAATTAGATAAAAGAAGATTTCCAAAATTATCTTTGGAAGGGATATTCAAAAATAAATTTTTCCAACCACTTCAAATTGTATTAATTCAGACTTATTCTGCTATTGCTGTTATGGATTAAGTGGGAAATTTACACAATAAAACAAGGGTGGTAAACATTTTTTAGCTTGCTTTTTAAAATTGATTTTACAAAATAATAAAAAGCTTTTAATGTTTCATTTTTTTTACAAATACACAAGTTATGTGAGGCATTCAAGCAATATTTAGTTAAAGATAAGATGATTGACACCTAAATAACACATTTGCATTTGTCTTGCATGCTGGAGTTTTAATTTTCTGGTTTTACTGAAGATGCTTGTTTATTATTCTGATGCAGTGCATACAGAAAACTTGCATTACTGACAGAATGTAAACATTGTAAGGGAGTTATATTTCTTAAAAGTGGGTTATTGTTGAAAAATAATCTATAATGTATTGTCAGATCAACTTAGATACCAATTTAGTACCACTAATTTCAGTCTCAAAAATGCTATACAGTATGACCTTCCAGAGGGTTTGTATAGAAATGATCCTATTATGTTTGTACTGAACTTTCTGATAAAATGATTATCATTGTTAACTACCAGCGGACCTGTTGAACTGAAGTCATAAGGGCACAGCCCCCCCCCCCAAAAAAAAACATGATCCTTAGATCAATTAACTGCTGAAGAACCAGATACTGTATGTTTGATGCCCTCCTCTCATTGGTAACCATTTTTATGTTTCTAAATTTTTTATTTAGATAGCCTAATCTCCACCCTTTTTTGGAGTTGTGGAATAATGTTTTTGGTTTTTCTGTTTTTCTGTTATTAGAGTAAATATTGTATTTTATTTTGCTATCTCGTTAAATGCTTTGATGGAGGTAGGTGCATTGGTTTGAGCACATGGACAGTAAGGTATACAGTAGAGTTTTGTGTAGCTGTTTTCACTCAGCTGTCAATTTTGTGAAAGTTACTCTTCAATTATTCAAGTTCCTTGGATTGTTAAATATGTTTTTGGTTTTTGAGTTATTGGGAAATCACCATTGTATTCTCATGGAGTTAATGAACATATTTTTTACATCTGCTTCACATGATAATTTGTGGTATTACAATAATTTGGGGTCTCTTGTTTCTTGTTCTCCACTGTTATTGTTGTGTACAGTCGATCTTTCACTGTCATGCTTGTAAATGCTTCATTGTCTTTTAAAATAAATTATTTTGTCATGTTCATGTCTTTAATTCACCTCATTTAAACAGAAGTTTTACACCATGTGAAAGATGAAATTGCTTTATTTCAGGTGACTGACCAGTAATCTTCAGTTCTCTTGTCTTTCTCTTATGTAATTTTGTGGGAAAGATCAGATAAGTAGGTTTTATTTGTGTGATACTTGTCTCTAGCCTTTTAAGGAATAAATTGTATGTATTGTGTGCTAATGATTAGGGTTTTGTATTTATGTATAAAGACATAATGGCTCAGAATTTGCAGTGAGCTGTTCTCCAGGGTATACAGTATATTCTACTTAGCCAAGCAAAAGAAAAAGTAAAAGCATAATTTCCAGACATGATACTATCTAAGGTTTAAACCCTGGAGTTAAATGTGTGATATATGAAATACGTGCTATATATGAAGTTAAATTTGGGGTTCCTGCAATGCAATTTAAATTAAGGTGTATTACACTTGGTAGGCATAAATGAAAGTCAAGAAGTAGTTAGTAAAAGATTCTAATGAAACAGTTTATGGGTGGTGTGGCACAGTAAATTTAAGAGTCAATAGCAACAAGCAAAGCAGAGTTTGTATGTACAGTAGGTACATACTAGCTAGTATGTTAAAGTACTACAGTACCTTGCTATCACCCTCTGCTGTGTGATCAGTTACAATGAAAAAACCTACAGAGCAAAGTTGGATACCCACTTATCTTGTTAACAGTTCAATACTAAGCATTGCTGCTGTTTATCCAAACGGGGGCTGAATCAAAATAAAATATTTTTGCTTAATTAATTTATTAACTTGATAATCAAAATATTTAGACAATATTGCAAGTTCTTTAAAATAGATTATTCCTGTGATTTTTTTTTCCAGACTTTTTGACAATGCAACGACTTCCTTCAGCTACATAACTGAGGGCCTGGAGCCATATACAGCTTACGACTTGAGATTGATCATCTCAAATGCACATGGAAATGGGATCAGTGAATGGATCAGAATGGTGACAGCAGAGGACAGTAAGTAGCCCCTTGTGTTACCCCGATTACTGAAGGGGAGTATATTTGTTAAAGTGGGTTTGGATAACTGACACATTGCAATAGATAAATTTAAAGATATCTTTAATTTAGAGATATCTGAGTTGGGGTTATCGAGGGTGCTCCATGTTAAGTATATAGTGAAAAAAAAACTGGTTGTAATGTTCTAAAGTTTATTCCAGTTGTAATTATTTTTTATGTTTTTGCATTGTCTGTACATTTGTGTAATAAATGTTTTATTCCCTCCCTGTTTCAACACCACCAAAATATTTACAGAAAATTAAAGAAGCTACCTTGGCATTTTAAACAATTATAAATTGCTTGTAAGGTTAGTGTGAGGACTAACATTATTATTAGAATATGTTAATCTTTAGTTTGAATCATTTTACTCAATATCTAATGTATTACAACAGCTTGGTATTTTTATACAGTATTCTTCAGCAAAGGCAATTGTACAGGCAAACATCTTTTTAACATCATATTGTTGAAATGCGTGTAAATAGAAAGTTTGTTTAGATTGTTAGATTATTAGAAAGTTTTTAAATAACTTGGGTAGAGTTTGCTGAGATTGCTTAAATATGAGGTGATTTTTGTTCTTTGATTGGAGATGTTTAAGGAGAGAAAACAGGAAAACTGTTCCAAAGGGTTCACAGAAACCTTTCAAATCCTATGTACCTACAGTATGTAGAAGAGGAAATTGTGGTTATCTCTCCTGTGCTTTGCTCAGATTTACTAACTGTGTTAGGGATCTATCAACTAACTATGCTATCAAATGGGATTTTTAACACTCTGATGAACCAAGTCTCAAATATCCCTGAGAATCGTGCGAGCAACAATGTTTATATTATAAGCTCTGCTTAGAATTGAAGAGTGCTTATGTGAGATTTTCTTAAGGACATGGAGTCCCATTTTCCATGGTCAAATGTGAACTCCTATTTTACCTCTGAAATACCAGTGCAATGTGGTCTTTGATGCAAAGTGTGACATATCTGGTAGCGGAACCCTTGGTGCATGGTCTCCTTCAGGCAAAAAAGTGCTTAATCAGTAATATGATGTTTAATTGAAATTAAATGTATTGCTTTTAAATAACTGAGTTACAGAAACATGTTTTCAATTAGAATAAAAAAACAATTACGTTAATGCCAATATTTTTCAATGACTTATTTTTTTTCTCATTAATAGATGTTACATATGAACATAAGATAAGTTAAAAATCAGAGGAGGCTATTCTATCCATTTATTCCTTTTGGTTGCTAGAAGCTAATCGATACAAATATCTCATCCAAGAAGGATGAAATCTTTTCTTTACTTTGTTTCATAAGGCAGTCAAGGTATCACCACCAGCAACAGGGACAATGCTTTGTGTACAGTAAAAGTGATTACTGAACACTCTTTTAAAAGAACATCCGTGTATTTTCCTCTAATTTCCTCTGGGTTGTGTCTCACTGTTGAAACATGTTTTTTATTTCCATTTCTCTCTGTGGCTTAGTTGCTGTAAATACATTCCTGTAGTATCTCAATATGTAAACAGCTTAACAAGAGTAATTCACTCTCTGCAGAGGACTTGAAAATTGAGACTGACCCATTGCTTATATTGTATCTTGCTAGCATTTTCCTTTGTCCTCAGAATTATGAATCAACTTGTTCCATTAGACCTCCCTTGTCCTGGCTGTCTACTATAAGAAACTGGGCAAGAGAGACAAACAATCCCACTCTCAGGAGATCATCACGTGAGCTAGAACTTCAGATCTGATTGAATGTCAGGATGATCATGGGGGCTACTTGAAGACCATACATGCAAATGGATATGTGAGGTGGTGCAATGTCTTCACTTCCTCTCTTTTTTCCATCTATCTGTTCCAGGCCTGATCTCCACCTCCACTCACCTTATGCATCACCTCTCATTGTGTTGTAACTGGTGCAAATAGTGTGTCACTCAACGTGTTATGATCTCCATCCATCGTGCCAATTATTTTATGGTAGCAGGAAGACCATATAAAGAAAGAGAAGCAGATATGAAGGAGAAAAGAAAAAACACAATACTATACAAATGCACTGGCCTTTAGGCGTATAATTCAAGTAAACATACTATACTGTATGTCCTGAGCCACCGTCCTACTCCCACTTATGTCACTCTGGCACTTACTGTGTACATAAGGTTGTACGATATTTTAAATACTATTAGTATACTATTAGTTTTATGTCCAGCATGATATTAATACTCTTGCTAATATTTACCAGAATTTTAAAAAATACTGGTGAAATTGCTAGATTTATTGTAGTGGTGAAAGAGCAGATTTGACAAACTTATCAACAGGGAGAGCCTTTAGTTAAAATCCCGGGGGAGCCAAACTGCCTTTGTGCAGAGAGATTCCATTAATGCTGAACACTAAACCTTGCTGAGATAGGTAGGCCTGGTGTCAAAATGCCTGTTAGTACAAGAATGTTCTCTTAAGCAAGACAAGAAAAAGCTCCTCATGCTGAACATACAGTATAAGAAAGAAGTTTATACCCCTGTTAGCAGCCTGTGAAAAAGAAAGAGGTGTACATAAAGACAATTGCTACAGTTATAAATATTTTAATAAAGACATTGCTATTCTACTATATTTTCTTTTTGCTATTTCACCCTTTCTGCTATTGTATAAAACTCCTGTACTTAAGATAATATTTGCTATTTCAGACAGTTATTATTGTCTCACAGTAAGCCACAGTATTCTCACAGTATTCGGAAATGCTGCCTGCTTTCCAATTCTAATGATCTGTTATTCACCAAGAATCAAAATTTATATCTATTTTGAAATCTGCATTGTTTACAAAAGGAAATGTGAATACTCCAAGGAGAATATGTCTATTTATTAAGCTATGAATGTGTTTTTAATGTCTACTTATGTAGGAAAATGCATACCAATTGCACTAACTAGGATAAGCATAAAAATGTCTACATCAACAGACGCTGCAGCATAGAAGTGTATATCTTGTAGGTGACCTACATCATGTCATTGTGGTCTAATTACTATAATAGAATCATATTAGAGTTCATAACAGAGACTCTTTGGTAAGTTATAAATTAATTATACTTGAGTCTATTATCACATATATTATAATTATGCTGCTACTATTTGCATACATTTCAAATGCTCTGTATTATTGCCTATCACCTATTCATTATTATGCAGAAAGTCTCCCTACTCTTCTTTGGAATACTGAATTATTGCCCAGTAGCACCTGAAAACTTTTCTTTCACAAAGTTTTTCAATGTCTAAATGTTTAAATGTCTTAAGGTATACATGGCCCAAGTCTATAAAGGACAATGACAGTGTAGCTGCTATCATAAATTGCTAAAATTCTGAAACTGCACCAACTCAGTTTATGTGTGCCGTTATTTAAAATGTGTGCGGAAATGCTTTAAGGTGTTTTATTTGAGACCATATATTTATATTGACAAGAGAACTTTATAATTAAACAGCATTGCTCTATGTGCCAGACACACTTGGTACCCAGCTGCACTATTTTCTAGGTCTTCATCTCACAGAACTACCCATTTTGTTTAATTTCTTACAATCTTCATTTACTGTCCCTACAGCATGTCTGGCAGGATCTGCATAAAAACTGGTGAAGCCACATTACTTCAAAGATTTTTAGATTCTCACTGTCAGTGCTGAAATATATTCATAAATGTAAAGAAAAAAGATATATTAAAAGTTTAACTGTAAATAAGTTCTCATTTGACAATAATTTAATCACACAACAAAAAAGTAGCACTAACACTGAATGGTACTTCTGAATATTAATTAAACTTGTTGCATCAGACATGCAAAGTAGCTTTGGTGAAAAATATTAAGAAGTACTTAAATTATTCACTGAATTTAGATTTGAGTAAAGTTTTTTTTTATTCTTTCAGTAAAGTATGTGGTAAAGGATTTATGTATATGAATCTTGCAACACATTATACAATTGTTCTGGGTTGTAGTAATTTATTCTTTGGATAGAGGCAAAATGATATGTGTCAATTTGTTTTATAATTTTTAACAATGGTGTACTAGATGAACATATAATTATGTACTCGTAGGACTGAGTGACAAATGCAGTGCAGAGTATAAATTCCTATCTAAATATAAGCATTTGAATTTAAATAAATGCAAAATTTATGACCATTTATGAGGATTGAGATAGAGTTGTCTGGAAAAGATTTGCATTGAAATGATTTGGGTTTGTGAGAGAATGTTGTTTCTCCAAGACCTTTAGACCTTTTTTGTCCTTCAATATTTCCTCATCCATAAGTACCAGAAGACAGTTTATTTTCTCTATGAGTTAGAATATAATTGAATAAATGGCGGGTGAAGAATCAGAAAAGGTGTTTTGGAGAGGCAGTGGGTTTCTACTGCAAATAAAAGCTTTCACATTTCATAGCCCATCACTATGAAATAGTACTTTGTAAACCAGTACTAAATTAACAATGGAAGCAATAGTGGGATATTTTTCAAGATAATGTTACAGTGTATAGGGTAAAGAGAGTGTAAAGGACATACAAGGTTAAAATGAAGAATCATGTAATATGCGTGTCCTTTTTTTTTCTTTTTTTTTACAATTCTTGTTCCACTTTTTTTAGCTGTGGAATAAAAATTAAAAGCTTAACTGTACTAACAGCAACAGATACTGTACATTTTCCCTCATTGTACTTCAGATCTCATGCATTCCCCATTTTATCACTGTTTTTATAAAGTTACACTGCATTTTGAATCTTTCTAAATTTTTCAATTCAAAGTAATTTCCAGGTATTTACCAAGTCATTTTTGCAAACTGATTTAAAGCCAAAGACATGCTGTTTACTGAGGAAGAATAGAGTGTCTTAAAATGAAAGTACAAGAGAATGGTAATGTACAGCAGTGGCTTCTATTAGTAATTGAAATGAATTAATGAATGTAATGTCATATTAGCATGAGGATTTTCAATAGCAGCTTATATTTTCTCTCCCGTCACCT